ATCTATATCTATCATCTATCTATCTATATCTATCATCTATCTATCTATCTAATCATCTATCTATCTATCATCTATCATCTATATCTATCTATCATCTATCTATCTATCATCTATCTATCATCTATCTATCTATCTATCTATCTAATCATCTATCTATCTATCATCTATCATCTATATCTATCTATCATCTATCTATCTATCTATATCTATCTATCATCTATCCCTCATCATCTATCATCTGCCTTACACACTCAGACACAGACACAGACAGACAGACACACAAACACACGCACATACACAGACTCACACACACTCATATGATAAGTGCCATGAAGGAAGAGGAGCCAAATGCTCCAAATGAGGAAGTGACAGGAACCCAGCTCTGAACCCAAACAGAGCAGAACTATAACCCCTCTGACCTTAAGCATCTTATTCCCTCTCTGAGATTCAGCTTTTGCATCTGGAAAGGGGGTTCTGGGGATAGTGATAGGCATTTAATCATAAAGGCAGAGCCAGGTAGACCTCATGATCTAATCTCTTAGACATGCCTGTCCCCTTTATGATTCCCACAACTCTGCCTGTTTATACTTGCATTACAGCAGTGTGTGGTTTCTATTTTTTTTTTTGTCAATTTTATAAAAAATCTTCTATTTTGCTAGGTTTTATTTATTTATTTATTTTTTTAATTAAAAGAAGCATTTCATTACAACAGCAAACATTTTTCTGAGCTAGGGTACATCTGTTTCAAAATTGGCTGTACATTTCTAGGTTTACAGATGAATTATTACGCTTATATAATCTTTTACTCATTATAAACTCTATAAGACATAAAATTAAATGAGGTTCCAACGTTTAAGAAAGATCTCCACTTCGTTGTCAAAACACACAGTTTCATACAGAAAAATTCATTCCAAGCCTATTGACATTGAGACGTTTTCACATGTATTTCTAATCTCTATATACATGACTATTACTGGTCACAGTCGCCCACCTTCTGAGCTCCTCGACATCTGAGCATGATTACAAACTCGTCAGGTAGACAACCTTCCTCTCCCACTAGAGCGTCCATACTCTGTGGTTTCTATTTTTTACAAACTATTCATTGACTAACACTTTAACCAACTCTTTATGTTTACATGTACATAAAAGCTGCAAGAGAGAATAGACCTGTCCACAGGTAGAAAAATAATTTCAAAAGAAATATCTCATACTTTATGTATTATATAAAATATTAAATTCTCTGGAACAGAACAAAGATAATGACACAAGCTGTAAGTACCAACATTTTCTGATTCTACTCTTGTTGAACTGGTAGCTGAGCTGTTTTCAAGGCCAAAAGCCTGCAGCCTTTATCTGTCTCAGCCAGGACTGAGTGGGTGGAAAGGCATGTTGATGAGCAAACAACAAACAAATTGACAGAGATAGCTGGGGTATTCAGATGGAGGAATGGACAGAAATTCCTTCAGTTCTTCCAGAATGGAAAAGAGCATTCTTGGAAGGAGAAAGGGAAGAGGAAAGATGGAAAAGGGGAGAGAGGGAGAAAGAGAGGGAGGGAGAAGGGACAGAGGGAGAGGAGGAAGTGGGGGAGAAGGGGAGGGGAAGAGAGAAAGAAATAAATAGAAATAGAAAGAAAGATAGAAAAAGAGAAAGAAAAAGAGGCTAGTATCTGGCAAATTCCTCACCAACTGAGGAAGCAGGTGCTCTCGAAGGTCAGGCCTGGGCTTGCTGTGTCTACGATCCTGGCAGAGCTGTCACTCAGGAGTTAGACCCACGTGCTGCTCTTGGAGACAGAGAGATCTCCTTGAGTTTCTCCTGAAATCCTGTCTATGACTGGAGCAGCACAAGTCTTGTCCCTTTATTGCCAGTGAGTTTTCTGTCACTCAAGAGACCTCATGACTAGAGGGCCACACCCTTGACAGCCTTGGTGTGGAAATAGAGACAAACGCCCATGGAATGAATGATTGCATGGCCCCTGGCTCAGGTGTCTGAGTTAGAATGTGTAAATGAAACACAGCTTTTTTTTGCTGCAAAACTACAGCCTCTCCACACTCCACCATGGGTTCAGCTTATCTTGTTATTAATGTGTGGTCCCTATCATCAAGCCCATTTCATTCCTTCTACCCTCTACCGGGCAGATAACACCAGCTTCACTTGCTCAAGGTCTGGAGTCCTCAGGAGCCCTCAGGAGATATTAACATGGCTCCTCCCATTTTGAAGCTGGGGAACGGAGGCTCACTGTTGAGCAATCAGGTGGCTGCTCAAGGCCACCCAACCAGTTCTTGGCATTCAAACCCAGGAATGTCCAGTCCAGCTGCCGCCTCTGCTGCTTTGCTGGGCCATCGTCCCCTCTCTTCTTCCTCATCTTCCTCCTCCTCGGTTTTTTCCCAGTTGTGATTTTTTTTTTTTAATGTTGGCAGCTTTCATGAGATGCAATTCACATACTACACAACTACTCTCAACGTGTCCAATTCACTGGTTTTAGTATCTTTACTAAAGTGGGGTACCAGGGACTCTTCAGCATAGTCCACTCAAGAACATTCTTATTACTTTACAAAGGGTCTCTCACTGTACCTGAAGCTAGGCTGGCAGCCAATAAACCCCAGAATTCCTCTAGTCTGTTCTCAATAGTGCTGAAGTTATAGGCGTGAATGTGTGACTCCACCTGGCTTCTTACATGGGTGCTGGGGATTTGAACTCGGGTCCTCATTCTCATGCGGTAAGCACTCTTTCCCACTGAGGCATGTCCCCATTCCACATATTTTTGAAATAAACATTTTTATTACTGTATTACTTTATTACTTTATTTATTACTTTATTCTTTATTATTTATTTATTACTTTATTACTTTATTTATTTATTTATATTTATTATCATGTGTGTGCATGTGCTATGACTGGTGGAGTTTGTAGGACAACTTGTGGGAGTTGGTTCTGTCCTTCCACCATGTGGGTCCCAGGGATTGAACTCATGTCATCAGGCTTGGCAGTAAGCACCTTTACCCGCTGAGCCATCTCACTGGCCTACCATTTTTGGTATGTGTGTGCAGTTATACGTGCAGGAGTGCTTGCACATGAGTATGTGTGTGAGGAAGCCAGACGTCCATGTTGGGTGCCTTTCTTGCTCACTCCCCACCTTATTTCCTGGGACAGGGTCTCTCAGGGAACTTGAAACTCAGTGCTTCAGCTAGAGTGACTGGCCAGTGAGCCTCAGGATCCACCTGACTCTGCCTCCCAGCACTCGGATTGTAAACATGTGCTGCCACACCCAGCTTTTTATATGGGTGCTGGGGATCCAAACTCAAGTCCTCATGCTTGTGTCTCAGTCACTTTAACAACTGAGCCATCCCCAAGCCATCTTTTCTGGACATTTCACAGGAATTACTTCACATTGTATGTAGTGTTTGTATCTAGCTTCCTTTAT